AACATCATACGGAATAACACTTTATTAACAGAAAATTGTGACAGGTTAAGGTTCTAGGGTTCTTGGTGATAGTACCTGACTGCAAAAACATATTCAAAGCAACTCACAGATAGCTGTAATCCCCAATAAAAGTATTCAGCATGCACAGAGTACAGGCTTTACCCAGTAGGTGTCCCTATGGGGGAAAAGACAAGTTCAGCCCAATGACTGATCCCAGCAGTTACAATGGAGTCTTCTCTAGCGTCTCCCCCCTTCTCAACTTAATTTTACACTATTTCTTTATGTTTAGGTGAAGCTTGAGTGACTCTAGTCATACATTCCTTTGTTACTGACCAATGTAAAATTCTCTTGTTTTGCTCTTAAAGAAATAGTCAATAAAATATAGAGCATGTGCTCAGTGATGGGTAGTTATATCTTGGAGGTGGGTAACTTTGGGATGGAGGTGGGTGTTAATATTACAATTAGGCTTTAATGAACCAAGGTCATCTCAGAAGAGAAATTTCACCTGAATTGTTGTCTAAGCATCAAGACATCTCCTATCTCCCTTGGTTGACAGGTGTTATGTGGTTTATCAGCTGCAAAGTACCATTGAGTTCCTCTCCCTGCAAGAATTTCAACAGAGCCTGGCCATGGTGCTTCCACTCTGCTCTACCCTCTGTTCCATCCCCCTTGGCAGGTGCTTGCGGTTGCAGATTGTGGAATATGTTTTGAGCATGCCACCCACATTTCACTCAGGGACCAGCAACTGTATTGTACCCTATAATTTCCAAACCATTATAACTTCTGTTAGGATGTGGATATAACTTCTCAGTTTCTTCTAATTTTACTCCCAGCTGTCTTTCCACAAAGATGGAAGTGATGGACAAGGAGCTTACTGTGGAATTGTGTAGAGTTGGGTATCAGGAGTAATAAGAAATTCCAAATGCATCAAAACAAGAGTCATAAGAGGAAACCAAAATAGCCTCCACTGCCTATGAACAAAGAGTTTCTCTTGATTCTGAGAGAATGAAAAAAACCTGGCAAGGATGCCCAGCAGCAATGCAGGATCTGAATGTATTCCTGTGAAAACACCTGTCAGTATGGACAAGAGTGATTAAACACAGCAAGATCTGAGACAGGCTTTTCAAAAACCTCAGCAGTCAAATTTTGCAGACTGTGTATATGTGGTTATTCACAGTTATATATGTATATTATCCCGACTGGTATCCAGCACAGGATATCTGGAAGCAGCCCTAAAATGCACTACACTCAGATACAGTCAAGAAATAAGTGGAACAGGGCTATACTTCAGGGCATAGCTTTCTAACTGACACTTTCAGAGGTTTTAAAAGCACTTCCTTGTGCCTAAATTACAGTTGCTTCTCTGGATGAATTAATGTGTTTTGCCACAGATACTTTGACAACTGTTCATGGAAGGGAAATAGCAATACAGGTGGATTGGTTTGGATTTCTTTTTAAATTACTATTAAGAATTTATTTTGCTTGGTGCAGAGACTGTATGCAAAATTGTATTTTGGCTGATGAGTTAGTCCAGGAACTGAACTTAGAGCCAAAGGATAACCTGCTTCAGAAATAAAGAAAAATCCCTTAAGTTGTTTACAGTGTATGTTTCCAAGCCAAGAAACACAGACGAGCCTGACACAGGCCATCTGGCATGCTACAAGAATTGCAGACACATCACAGAAAACTGTGCATCTGGGGGACAGTTAAACCTTCTGAAAGGGCAAATGGCTTCCCACCAAATACAGAGTTAAAAATCCCTTTGCTGGTCTGTTGGCCTGATCCCCACAGGAGTTTTCTCAAAGTTGATGGGCTTAAGGCTGCAGAATGAACCCATCTTCATCAAAACAGGAGTAGCTTAAATTTTGAATCCACATGCTTTTCAGGTGCAATAATGGTCAAAGTCGGAAATCTGATGGAGACTTAACTTATGCTTTTGAAGCTGTTATCTGTCAAAGCTGAGGCAGCAGGGTTTGGCTGCCACACAGTCAAATTGCTAGACTTGTCCAATACTAAGTACTCATATTTTCCATACCTTCCTTGCATCAGCACTCCTAGAACTCCTGAATGCTTCATAGTAAAAGAAACAACACATGTTGCAACATCTTCTCTGGAAAGGAAGCCATGAGGGCATATAGGAGAGAGTGAACAGGCTGAAAACAATTTGAGTGACTGAGCAGAAATTATTCCTGAAGAAAAGTACTCAGCATGCCACAGTGACAGCCAATCTCTAACTAGCCTAAAAGCTATTTAAGAGAAAGCTGGTGGTGGTCATGGCTGCAGTGTCTCTGACAGAAGTGCACTGTTACGGGGACTTTCTCAGGAAGAAGTGATTACTACGCAACTAGGACCTAAATTTACTAGTCTTCCAAAAAGTATAACCAAACTTTTGCAAGCATGTACAAATAAATTTTAAATACTGAACTGTTGTGTCTTACAATCAACATGATCATCAGTAGTCTGGTGCAGTGCAGGCAGAAGTGTGCTGCTGGAGTCACTAAGGACGTAGCAGAGGATAGTCAGGGAGAGAAGAAAAGGGAGAGTCAGGGAGAGAAGAAGGGAAGGTGGCTTTGAAAAAGCGCTGGCTAGACAGCAGAAGATCTGTAGGAATCCAAGACCCCTGAGAGCCTGCTGCCCAGCCATGCCTCAGCATGTTGCTGTCCCAAAGCTGCTTGGGGGCTGTAGTAATATTTATTACAGCTGTGGGTTCCTTCTGCTCTTTGCCTTTCCCAGTTTCTCATGTAACCCTCTCTTCCTTTCTCAGTCCTTTTCTATTTCCTTGCCTGGTCTAGAGATTTCCCCTTGACTGCATTGTCTTTACTCTTTTCTCTACCTGCCAGCCATTGAGCCAAACTTTGTTGGGATAGAATCATACAACATAGAACAGTTTCAGCTGGAAGAGATTTCCTGAGGTCATCAGGCTTAACCTCTTGCTCAAAGCAGAGCTACTTTGGATCAAGTTGCTCAAGGACTTCTCCATCTCTAACAAGGGATTGGACCACATGCCCAGAGGAGCTGCACAATATTTGATCATATTGCACAGAATATCTGAATTTGCCTTGCAAATGTCACCCCTGACTCTCACTCTGTGCTTTTCCAGAGAAACTTTCAGTAGAAGGATCTGATGCAATGTGCAAGTGGAATACATGCAAGTAGATGGTTTGATTTTTTTTTAAGTTCAATGAACCATTTTATAGAGCCTCACATTGCTTTGGACAACTCAAGTATTCAGTATAGGTAGCAGGGGCAAAATATGGCATATCATCCTTTATGTAAGTTTACCATAGTTTTAAAACATGTAGAAGATTTTACATGTAAGGTAAACTCTTTTCAGAGCCCTGGAAATAGATTAGAAACGTTGGGGGGGGGGGGGGGGGGGTGTGTGTGTGGAATATGTCTCAAAGTGCATTCCCTAGCAGAATATAGTGCCTTCAGCTGTGCCAGACCTTCACTAACCAGCAGCGATGAAAACTGTCTCCTGACTTCCCTGCCATGCCTTCATGTAGCTGACTAGTGGACAAGGAAGGAAGAAGGGCATGTCTAACTCAAGCACTTCTGGAGACTGATGGGGATGCTTACCACAGTTTTCCCTTTGGGATGATTATGGATTGTGATGGGAATAGTGAGTGCCAATTTTAGCTGACCTACTAGTCCTGAAACTTCATGTAAAGGTTATCACACAAAGCAGAACTTGGAATTTGATTTCATGAAAGCACAGATATTCCTTGTTGGTGCTGAGAAGTGTTGGCATTTTGCCACCTCTGAAGCAGGTAGTAAAGTTTTACAGTCCACTCTAATGGATGGAATGGTGAATTCTGAGAGAAAGAGCCCAGTTCCTTGCATTGATATTTTTAATTTGCTGGCATGTTCTTAAAGCTCAGGTCAGCTGTTTACATGCCTCTCATGAACATCTTGTTTCTCTTCCTGTTTCAGGGATCACCTATCATAGGGAACCCACATATTTTTCTCTATTTGCTGAAGACAGCTTTAGGACAATCCCCACAGGCAGTTTCAAGAAGAATTAGGTACACACAGGACAGTTTTAGTCAGTCAGTGAAAGCCTCCAATAAAACTGAACTTTAAAAGACTTTACAACTTTATCTTACTACTGAATGGCCCCTCAGATAAACTTGCCTACTAATCTTTCTTACTAAGCTTACAGCTGAATGTGACCCTTAAACCAGTGTTATTTCGTGAATCTGCAGTAGCAGATTGCACTCACACCCCCAACCCATAACTTCTCTAGCTTTGCTTCAGCTTGTTTATATCCAAATAAAGTGTATTTAACTACTAGTATTTCTTTTCATTTTGATACCTCAGGCTCAGTTACACTCAATGAAATGGAAATTCATAGAATCATAGAATGGTTTGGGTTGGAAGGAACTAGTTCACCCCCTGCAATGAGAAGGGGCATCTTCAACAACATCAGGTTGTCCAGAGACCCATCCAATCTGACCTTGAATGTTTTCACAGTTGAGGCTTCCACAACCTGTCTTGGCAACCTGTTCCAGTACTTCACGATCCCTCATTGTAAAGAAATTCCTTCCTTATATCTAGGCTGAATCTACCCTCCCTTAGTTTAAAACTATTACTCCTTTTCCTATCACAACAGACCTTGCTAAAAAGTCTGTCCCCTCCTTCTTACAGGTCCCATTTATTGAAAGGCCACAATAAGGTCTTAGAGCCTTCTCCAAGCTGAACAACCCCCAGCTCTCTCAGCCTGTCTTTATAGGAGAAGCACTTCAGCCCTCTGATAACTTTCATGGCCCTTCTCTGGACCTGCTCCAACAGGTCCATGTCTTTCGTGTACTTAGCACTCCAAAGCTGGACACAGTACTCCAGGTGGGGTCTCACCAGAGCAGTTCAGAGGGGAAAAATCCCCTCCCTTGACCTGCTGGCCACACTCTTTCAATGTATCACAGGAGACAACTGGCTGTCCAGGCTGCCTGGCACACACTGCTGCCTCACATCCAGCCTCTCATCCACCAGCACCCCCAAGTCCTTCTCAACAGGGCTGCTCTCAATCCATCCATCCTTCAGCCTGTATTGATACCAAGGGTTGTCCTGACCCAGGCAGAGGACCTTGCACTTGGCCTTGTTGAACTTCACAAGGTTCCCATGGGTCCACTTCTCGAGCTTGTCCAGATCCCTCTGGATGGCATCCCACCCTTCAGGTGTGTCCTGCACCACTCAGCTTGGTGCTGTCCACAGATCTGCTGAGGGTGCTCTCAATCCCACTGTCTGTATCACTGATGAAGGCATTAAATAACACTGGTACCAATGCAGACTCTTGAAGGACATCACTTGTCGTTGATGTCCATCCAGATGTTAAGCCTCTAACCACTGCCTCTAACCACAGGATATGACTGTCAAACCAGTTCCTTATCCACCTAACAGTCCACCTATCAAATCCATCTTCTCTAATTTAGAGAGAAGGATGTAGTGGGGGACCATGTCAAAGGCTTTATAGAAGTCTAGATAAATGACATCTGTAGCCCTTTCCTGTCACTCCATTGTAGAAGGCCACTGAGTTGGTCAGGTAGGACTTACCCTTAATGAAGCTGTACTGGCTGTTGCAAACCATCTCCCTGTCCTCCATGTGCCTTACTCTAGCTTCTAGGAGGATCTTTTCTGTGACCTTCTCAGACACAGAGGTGAGGATGACAGGTCAGTAGTTGCCAGGGTCCTTCTTTCTACCCTTTTTTAAGATGGATGCAACATTCCCCTTTTCCAGTCACCTGGCACTTCCCCTGACTGCCATGACTTTTCAAATACCAGGGACAGTGTTTTAGCAACTACATCAAGTGAATTCCCTCAGGACTCTGGGATGCACCTCATCAGACTTATATGTTTTTCAGGGTGTTTTTATTCTACCTTTAGCACTACCCTTCACAGGTTTTAACAGGCGAGGTTAACATAGGCATAAAACTGCTGATAAAAGTCAGTTCCTCCCCCCCTAACCCCAGCCACAGGGCTCTGGACTTTGGTGCTAACAAAACCTTTCTTCCCTCTAATTACCAGTTTGGGGGCTTTCACAAGATCTTCTGAGTCCCATCTGAGGCCCTGATTGAGTCTATTGATTCAGCCCCTTATTATTTCATTCCTTCCTCTGAGATCTACATGCTTGGGAACTAGTCAGAGCTCTACATCTTACTGCAGTTGTTAGATAAGTACACAGGAAATAAATATGTAGCAGCTCATTGTTATTTCAGCTTCTGTTGTCATCAGTGGCAGGTTGTCAGTGTTCATCCCTCAAAATCTGAGTATGTTGACTCGAAGCAACAAGAATGCTGCAGAGACCATCCACATCAAGAAGCATTTGCTGTTTCTTTCCCATGCTAAGGGCTTGTCTATGAGTGGAAATTTACTACACTTGGACATTCTGAAATGGCTCTTGGTGCGAATCTAAGCTTATAATAACAGCTCTAGGCTTATACCAAAGCAGTTATTCCCTAATACCTGTCCTGGTTATTTTAAGTACAGACGATCTGTAGCAGTAGCTCAGCCAGAAGCAGCAGCTAGTGTGCTGGAATAAACAGGGTGCTGACAGCTGCTGGTGTTTTACAGAGGAGGTCAGAGAGCTCTGCTTTGAAGTGGGACTGCTTTAAGTGTTAGTTGCTGCCTGAAACACTGTTTACAGTAATGCTCCCTCCTCTGAGGGGAACTGCTGTTAGCAACAGTAGAAAATTCTAATTGAAAAAAAATTAAGTATCATTAGACACAGCTAAAGAAAAACCATTTAAGGAAATTACAGTAGCACTTTTACTTCTAGAGAAACACTTACTTGGCAGTGATACTCATACAGAGTAGTAACTACTTAAATTGAGTTATGTGATCTCAACTATTATTTCAAGGGCAAGGATAATCTTTCAAGTGTAGTTTATCTACACATATTTTCAAAACATGTTTACCTGATGTAAGTTGCATTGCAGCAGCTCCTTCCTAGTCTGTCCATTTTGCTCCCTTTCCAGACTGATGTCTCTAAGTGCAAATGCCTCCTCAGCAGGGAGAGGCTGCTAACCTGAAGGAAAAAACGATGTCCCTGAAGTCCTGCCATTGAGCCTTTCTCATGTCCCAGAGCTCTAAATTCAAGTGCTAGTAACTTGTCTGGGGCCCTCAAACAGCCAGTAGCTGCCGATGGGCAGCTATCCTATGCGATATTTCAGAGTTTGTTTTCTTAGAATACAGGCACTGTGAATCAAAACCTTCTCCAAGCAGAGGTGCTTGCCCTACAACTTAACTCCTCTTTGTCTTTTGAAGCCAGACTTAGCTGTGACCCTCCCACTAAATTGCAGTTCTGCTCTCCCTCAGTGATTATTCCAGTACTTGCTCTGCCCAGTCGTGGTTTGAGCCGCCCCCGCCGGGCAGGGAGCTGGAAGTGGTTGGTCCCAGGTGAGTTTCCGATGAGGGACCAATTGGAGCTGCATTTCACCCCTGTGAAATTAGCATATTACAACAGCTGAAGGAAGTTGTGGGCAGTGAGAGAGAGGGATTCGGAAGCCAGCAGGTGAGAGATCCCTGCGGGCCCCTTGCAGGGGACCAGACCCTCTTTCTCCCCCCACCCCCGGCTGGGCTGCGGGGGAGCCTGGAACAGTATTATAACTGGACCGGGTGTCTGTGGCCAAAGGCTAGGGTTTTTTTCCCCCCACTGCCCAGGAGAGGCGGTGGCATGGACTTGAGAGGCCAGCCAGGGGGTGGGAGCTAGCCCCCACGGCAGGCGGGCACGGCATTGGAGCCGAGCTAGAGGCGGGCTGAGCGGTGGCCCAGAGCCAGAGAAGCAGCTGCAATCGTGCAGAGCTGGAAGAATTCCAGGCAAAGGAAGAGAGAAACTTCAAGCAGTCTCGCTGCTACCACCCACCCCCCCCCCCCCCAATGGTGGGGGCGGGAGTGACCTGGAGCTGAGACTGAAACATGAAGACGGGCCGAGGGGCTCAGAGGTGCGCTCGTGGGTTTGGACGGGAGTAGCTGAAAACCGAAGGAGGAATGCGGGGGGAGGAATGCCTCCCGTGACACGTGGAAGTCGAGCTGAAGCTGCATCAGCTGAAACAGAGAGAAGCCAAGCCAAGCAGGCTTTTTCTGGGTAAGGACTTCTGGTCAAAACTATTTAGGGTATAAAGACTGAGCAAAATCCAGAAACCCTGCACCCTGGAGAGCAAGAGTGGACATCTTACTCTCTAGGAGGAACGTACACGAACCGGGGGGAAAGGACTCAAACGCTGATGCCCTGTAAATCGTGATGAAGACCTGGTAAAACAAGTGTTCTCTTGTAGTCCAGGAGGAGACCTCGGCAGAGGCCGAGGAGCTGGTAGGGGTGCAAAAGACCCCTTCCTTGATACCCCAATGAGAGAGAGACTTTAGCTATCGTCCTGGAGGGTTCTTCTTCTGGATCGATGTGGGAAAGCCCCAGGGGTGGTAGAGATTGTATTAATACTGTGTATTCATTTGCTTTTTAGTTTCTATAGTATTTATTATGTTAGTAATAAATTCTGAAATAAATTTTTATATAATTTCCCCATACTGAGTTGTGCCTGTCTGAGAACTTCTCTTTTACATTTGAGGCAAATTATGGGAAAGCTTAGAAATTGAATTTTTAGAGAGCTCAAACCACGACATGCCTCCATGCTGAATGCTGCAGTTAATGTATACTTTTGAAGAGTTTGTTGCAAGAAATCAGTTTTGAGAAGGTGCAGTTTGAAAGTATTGAAATTACAAAGCCTTCTTGTTTCAGCTTTAAATAAAGAAGCATACATTAGAGAACCAGAACTAAAGAAGAAAGTTGTTCTTCTACAGGAGAAAAAGGAATTAAAGGTTATACCTGAAAGCTTGGAATAGGAAACAAAGGATGTACAATATCACCCTACATTTGTATACAGGTTGCAATGTTACAGCTTTCTTACTATGAGAGTTACCGAAGCCATAGGTAGTTAAAGATCCATATACACAAGGGCATGGAGATTCTGTTTCCTGGTTTACTAGTACTAATTCGTAGTAAAGAAATTCTTATAATCATATGATTACTTAGACTCATCAAATCAATGAGGTTGGAAAAGACCTCTAAGACCATTAAGTCCAACCCATTAACCCAGCACTGCTAAACCATGTCCCTAAGCACCATTATGAGATCTAGCCCATTTACTCTTCCCCTTATTGATCAGCCACCATTTTTGCCACTTTTCTGCCAGAACTCCTACAGGGCAGAGTAGGAAGTTACCTGGCAATAGTAGCAGCACCAGAGAAGGTGAAAAGTGTCCACTGTGTCCATTCATCACCTAATACAGATTCACTGAAACGGGTCCAGTCCTGGCACAGTCTGGCTTCCCATCTTAAAATTCAGAGAGGTGGGGAGAGAGAAGATTAAGGCTAAGAACAGGAAAACAAGTTGGGAAAGAACACCACCTTCTCCACAGTACACTTAAATCTCAGGCTAAATAATAAGTGGCCTAGTTTGTACCAAACAAAACCTGACTAAGAAAAGTCACCCTTGGTACAGGGATACCTGGAAGAAAAGAAGCAAAGCCTCTAGAGTTAGTGTCCTGCAGAGAGTTTGTGTTCCTCTGGAAAACAACCTCAGATGTCTTTGTGGAGCTTTCCTTGTCACCAGAACTTTCTCCCAGTACAAAGTGTGATCTTCATCATAGAAACCAGGGAAAGGCAAGACCTATTTAATTATCCAGTGTTGCACCCAAATTAGTGAAGGATTATTCCTTTCGTAAAAAAAAAAAATATTATATTTTGGATGATTCAAAATCTCCTCTCCCCAAGGGAGCATTCCATTTTCAGGTAAGATGCTTACTCAGAGAAGAAACCCAGGATGCCCTACTGTTTTTGACATCTTTCGCTATTCAGAAATATTGAATAAATTCCAGAACAAGACTTTCAAATAAGCACAAAATTTTGTTTGAACTTCTCACATTTCTGAAGACAGTTTAAGCAAATTCAAGCTCAGACCTACACAGTTGTATATGTACTCAAAAAAAAAAATCAATACTCCTCAATTTGCATATTAAATACCATGTATCTTAAATGTTTCTCATTTGCATTGTGCTGCAAAGTCTTCAGTAGGCAACACAGATGAATTCTACAAAATTACCCTACATGCTCATTTTCCACAGTTGAGGAGGGAGCATTTCTAGAGTCAAATAAGGAATGCGCAGAAGTGCAAATAGAAAATAGACTGTAGGTTGCTCAAGCTTAAAGTACCCCTTGAGAAAGGGCTTTGGCATCTTTTTTGCCCTTTAATTACAGAAGGGTAGAAACAGTATTTCTGTGGCACAATAAAGCCTTGACTTTCTTGTTAATGCCTGACCTGTTCTCAGCTGCTGACCCTATCTGCCAGTATAAATTTGGCCCCAATAGGTCAAACTATGCTTGTACCAGCTTTATACAGTTTGACTTTGATATTCTTATAGTGCTACATCACCTGATCTGGTGCATATCAGCTGAAATAAGTCAAACCTAAGCCAGAATGATGAGCTGAAGAAGCTTAGCTTCAATTATAACTGCAGTCATAACTAACTCCATAAGACTGCAACCATAACTTAACCCTGGTTGCAGTTGAAGCTGCCTCAGCCTGCCTTTAACTGCTTGCAGCTTCCCTTACCGAGTTGCAAGAGTCCCACATACTTTCTGACGTGCCAAAGCCATGCATGTATTTTCTTCCTAGCCTAGTCCAACTGAAGTGATCCAATGTTAAACATATTTATGCTAGCCCAGATGATCTGGGCTGAAGTGGGCTAGGGAAGCAGTAATATGGGCAGACAGAAAAGGGAAGTAAGGATAGAAAAATTGATATACAAGTGCAGTACTTGTCTATCTGAAACCTAATGTGTTATTTAGAAGAGGAGCTGCTGAAGCAGTAACAAAAACAGAAAAATTGCTGAGTCTGCAGGGCCTAAGCTGTGCTGCACAGTGAAAAAGAGAGACTTAATATGACTATTAATTTACATCTCTGGCAAAAAGGTACAGCCCCTAAACTTTATAATGAATAATTATGCTAACAATAACAGATAATAGATAAACTATAATACTATAGAGATCAATCATGTAACTATATAATCATGTGTAATACATATTTATTCTGGCATCTCTGATAATATATATGCATAATAATTATATAGATCAATAACATTACTCTATATAACAATGTATAGACATGATTCTGATAATCTCTATATGGATCTATTTTATACTTAGATAGAGAGCTAAAGATCTCTATATTGAGGCAGATAAAGATCTGTACATACAAAAATTGTAATAAATTCTGTTTGGAAGCTTATTCAGAGCAGTGGTTGGCAGCTTGCAGCAAGAATGCTACAGAAAATATCCTGTATACAAGAATTTCTACCTCTTTCTACCTGTATGAATCATCTATTGTCTGAACCTAGGAAAGGAATTAGAAATCACACATTTTATCTTCATCAAACCAATTTATACTATTGAGCCCATTCCATATTACAGAATCACAGAATATCCTGAGTTGGAAGGGACCCACAGGGATCATCGAGTCAAACTCCTGACCCTGCACAGGACCATCCCCAAGAGTCACATCATGTGCCTGAATGTATCATCCAAATGCTTCTTGAACTCTGTCAGGCTTGGTGCTGTGACCACTTCCCTGGGGAGCCTGTTCCAGTGTCCAACCACCCTTTGGGAGAAGAACCTTTTTCTAATATCCACTCTAAACATCCCCTGACACAACTTCAGGGCATTCCATTGGGTCCTGTCACTGGTCACCACAGAGAAGAGACCAGTGTCTGCCCCTCTTTTCCCCTCATGAGGAAGTTTGTAGTGGGTTTCTGTGGCTGGGATTTGGTGGGGGGGGGGGGGGGGGAGTTACAGGGGTGTCTTCTGTTAGAAGCTGCCAGAAGCTTCCCCTGTCCAATGGAGCCAATGCCAGCTGGCTTCAGGACAGGCATCCTGCCACTGGCCAAGGCCAAGCCAATCAGGAGTAATAGTAATGCCTCTGTGATAACACGTTTAAGAAAAGAAGGTTGTGTTGCAGAAAGAATTCCAGCCAGGAAAGACCAGAGTGAGAACATGGGAACAAGAAGATAAACACCAGGATCAGTGCAGAAGGAAGGGCAGGAGGTGCTCCAGGCACCAGAGCTGAGGCCCCTGCAGCCCATGGTGCAGCCCATGGTGCAGCCCATGGTGGAGCAGCTGTGCCCCTGCAGCCCATGGAGGACCATCAGGGTGCAGAGATCCACCTGCAGCCCATGGAGGAGCCCATGCTGGAGCAGGTGGATGCATGAAGGAGGCTGTGACCCCGTGGGAGGCCCAAGATGGAGCAGGGTCCTGCCAGAGACCTGCAGCCTGTGGAGAGGGAAGCCCACGCTGAAGCAGGTTTATTCTGGGTAGGACTTGTGGCCCCTGTGGGGGACCCGCGTCAGTACAGCTCATTCATGAAGGACTGCACCCCATGGAGGAGTGACCCACGGGACAGCAGTTTGGGAAGAACTGCTGCCCAAGGGATGGACTCATGCCAGAGAGGTCCATCAAGGACTGTCCTATGGGAGGGACCCCATGGGAGCAGAGGAAGGACTCCTCTCCCTGAGCAGTGGCAGAAACAACAACTGACTGCAACCCCCACTCCCCATCCCCTTGCATCACTGGGGGGGGGAGGGAGAACATGGAAGGAAGGAGGAGTGGGGGAAAGGTGTTTCTAAGACTTTTATTTCTCACTCTTTGGCTCTTATCCTGTTAGTAATAAGTTTAAGTACTATCCCCACTTTGAGTCTGTTTTGCCCATAAAGGTGATCAATAACTGACGTCTCCCAGCTGTTGTCTCTACTCATGAATCCTTAGCTGTTTTTTTTCTCTCCTCTGTCAAGTTGCAGAGTGAGAGAGTGGCTTTAATGAGTACCTGGCATCTGACCAGGGTCAGCCCACTACAGAGAGACTGCAATGAGGCCTCCCCTCAGTCTCCTCTTCTCCAGGCTGAACAGACCAAGTGACCTCAGCCACTCCTCATACGGCTTCCCCTCAAGGCCCTTCACCATCTTCATTGCCCTCATTTGGACAATCTCTAAAAGCTCAATATCTTTTTTATTTTGTGGTGTCTGAAACTGCACACAATATTCAAGGTGAGGCTGCACCGCAAGGCGAGTGCAGAGCAGAGAGGGACAGTCCCCTCCCTCGACTGGCTGGTGATGCTTTACCTGATATACTGCAGGACACGGTTGACCCTCCTGGCTGCCAGGGCACTGCTGACTTATTCGGATAATCTACTAAACCATCCTTTTATAAGACCTGTGTGCTGAGTAAGAAAGTCAGGGATCTGATGGGTGATGGGGTTTATAGATTGTAGCAGCTGATTTACCTTCATTCCTTCAAATTCTGGTAAAGTTGCTGAAGAGGAACAACATATCACACTACTCTGGCAATTCTACCTTGGCAATGGCAATCATGTATCTTGTGCCATTTAAAACTACGTAGAAAATCTGGTAAAGGTTGATATGAAATTTTATGCTCTCGCTGGCTTGTTTATTTTACCAAGCCAGATGATTCAAGTTAGATTTGAACCACCTTGTGCTTGCAAGGCATTATGTCTAATAATCTAGCTGGGGACATAATATGAAGTATAAAACAACTTTGAGACAGTCATGAAACATCATAAAGGATGTTGAAAGACTTCATGTAAGGACTGACACATCATCTCTGGCTTTTCAGAAACCTTTTTAAATTTGAGAGTATAAATGGCAATGGCTCCACCTTTGGAGGAAACTGGAACATCTGAACCTCTCTTGTCCAGCATTTTGCTTGCAAAGGAGGTCATAAGATTGCAAGAAACTGGTTGCACTGACTAAGTGTTATTAAGACTGTCAAGAGAGACTGGCAAGCAAGGCAAACTTCAGTTTCTTGGGCACAGCAAGAAACATCTTGTGCCGCAAAGCCACTGACCTGATTTCAGGTGTTATTTGCTAGAAGTGAATTGGCTTTTGACAGCTTCCTTTCATCTGAGCAAGTGACGGCTTGGGCTGCACGGAGGTAAAGGCGGCTTGCTAATTGCCCTCTCACAGTGCTGCTTGGCAAACCTGCACTGTCATTGTGTCAGCAATGAGATTGTCAGCCAGAACAGCAGCTTCTTTGAAGGGAGTTATATACAGGTTACAGAATCTCAAAATGCTCTTTTGCCAATTTAGTAGGCCAGTGCGGATTCATGGTACATTTTTTTTCTAGCAAAAGAAGGATATAGGACAGACTTGCATAGACAGTAAGTTCTTGTTTGTTATTAAATGTTTTTATAGCAGTAGCTCAAAGGAACCTCAAGAGAAGTAAACCTTCCTTTTACACATGCAGGAGTACTGCTAGAATTAAAGGTGTCTGAGTGTCTCATAGGCTGGATATTGTGTACTCAGGATGTTTAAATAGCCTTCACAGTGTACTAAGAATTTCCTTTAAAAGGAAACTTTTTGGTCACTGAAAAGATAAAATTTTAGATATATACTCACTGCCAAATAGCACAGTGTTCCCCTCCCAAAGCTGCAAACTGGATCAAATAGGGACTGAAATCTGGGAATCTCTTATGCCTTATTTAGATAACTGTGTTACAGACATGGGTATTGATATACGTCTACCTACATGTATGACTCTTCAATACAGATTTTATAAAAACACACAAAAATAACTTCATGGTTTCAAAGCTCAGATCTCAAATCTTAGGAAATTTGAGAATTCAGGCTGCATATACATTATGATATAGATGTGACAGTGTACAGTTACTTGACCTTTTGGGCCTTTCTCAGAACACTTGCCTCATCTGACCCTAAAAGGAACTTGTTTTTCTATTAAATGGTGCCAAATAACATCATGTATAAGTAAAAATACTGTTTAAAAATGTTGCTAATGTGGGTAAAGTAGGTCTAATCTTGTTTTTCCTTTATTTTGAGTGCAATGGGAGAACACAGCAATTTGCTACTGCAAATTGCATCATCCCTAACTAATATAAGGTAAAACAACCATTACTCTCTTGTTTAAATACCTGTTCTGAGAAATTCAGAAGAGATCCCTAACAAGAACTAATTAACTAAGTACTTCTGATGAGTTTTAGTAACATCCTAAGAGTTATAAAGGCTTACTATCCCATGGGAAAGGAGACAGAAAAGAATCCTTTGGCAAAGCATAAATCTCATTTTAAATGGGCTTATAAACATGCTGACTAGCTGACCCAATTTTACTTCTGCATATGATACTGTGTGCTCTTCCTTGCTTACAAGGTTGTAACTCCTAGTGATGTCAGCAGTATCAGTACTTATTTTATTTCCAAAGCAGCAGAAGCCATTTTTGCTACCACTGTTGCAAGAGAACTCCACAGGATAACAGGAGCATATTTTAAATGATAGTAGAATTTCCAAAAATTTAATTCAAGCAATTTGACCTTGCAAAAAGAAAAAAACCCAAAACACCAAAAGAGAAAAACACAAAAAGAGAGAGGAAAGTAATAAGTGTAGGGAATAAAGGCTTCAGGAGTAGGTAAAATATTCTACAGTTTAATCAGTCAGTTCTGCACATCTACATGGAAAACACAATTTCTGACCTGTGCTCTGGGACAACTGGGAGGGAAGGCCAGAGAGGAAAAGTTTTAAAATTGCCAGATGAAGCTGACATCTGAATGCATCTCTTCATCTTTGTTACTGTGGTCACTGGAAAACTAAAATCATGTATGATACTTAGGGAAAACCAACATTGTATTAATTCAGTTGCCTTTTTTTCATTTTTCATCCTCAAACTATGGCTGCTTTTTTTTTTTTTTTTTACTTTTAAACACTCAGAAATTTCCATTTTTGTGATAATACACTTTATATTTTTTCAGATTAGACTTTTACCTATTATACTTTTTTCCTGCTTTTTTTCATGCTTCTATCTTATTTGTTCCACAAGTATTATCTACCTACCTTGCTTCCTTTTCTAAGTGAAAACAGATGCACTATCTCAGCTTGACGATCACCTCTTTATTTAGACCCTTCTTTTTTTTTGCTTTGAGATAGCAATTATTGGATGACTAAGAACCTGTCTGGAGAATTTTGTTATTTAATTTAGAAAGAAGGTTACAAAATTACTCATGTGATTGGAAAAGACAGGAAAAGGCAGAAAAAGCAAAGATAGAAGTCTTGTATGAAGCAATACAGCACCAGTGAGACATCATCACAACTGGCGATGTGCCCTCTCGTGGTCATACTGCTACAAGAGCAATGCCTTGTTTTCATTAAGAGAAGGCTACTGTTCAGCTAGTACTTTAATATTTTAGTTTGGTAAGGCTGATTTTAAAGCACGTGTGAGAGCCCTAAAGTGTGAGTTGGCTGGGAAGAACAATGCTACAAGCAGAGAAATATCAGTTAGGAAAAAGTGAAGTCATGTGTTGAAATGTTGCCACAGTTTTGGAGTACAGTTTTTGTGGCAGTATCCTGGAAATACAGGTCAACTTTCCCTATTCACAAATGAAAAGAACTTTATCAGATTGTTTGACTCCCAATGTTTCACATTGAATCCTAAAGCAAAATAGACAAACTTGGAAGACCTAAGATATAATGATGAGATTTAATATCTTTCCAAATGTCAGATGCTGTTTCTGGCCTGCAGTTGAATATAGATCAGAAATACAGATTTAGTCTGCAGGTAAATATTGTTGATTAGTTCCAAAATTGATTCTTATAGAGAAAAACAAGGTACACTTGTTTTCTAGGATAAAGCACTCTGATTTAATTAGGAATATGCAATTATGTTACTCTTTGTGTTTAGTACACATGGATAGTACACTGGTTTTAGAGACTGAATCCAAAATTATCCATAGAAGATGAAGTAGCTGTCTTAGTTTAGTTTGAGTTAGGCATCACAACCTTGAGTCACCGCAATTTCTGCAAGAATTGTAGTCCCTGGTTGCTTTTGCCAGAAGTGTGCTGAATGATGCAGAAATCAGCATTACATCTGCTATTACACTACTAGTTAAAAAGTATTTTAATCCCCTAAAAACATCAAACATCATTTTCATTCTCTATACTTGGACATACCAATAGATACGTGTGTAAGAGAAGACAAGTTTTATTTGCAATGTAAAATCTCTGAAAGTGATGACTATGGTCATGGTGTATATAATTTCTAGGAACACCTTTGGTGCCCATCATTCAGGAACTTGGCCTTTGTGGGAACTGCAGTTATATAAAGGAAGTTGCATTGCTTGAAAAGTAATGGCCTTTACAGTAGTAAGTGTGCTAAAGGTTATTAAGTGCCAAATATATAGATATTTACAAAATATAAAGTCAGAAACTCTGTAACTTCATTTTTGTCTGTCCCTTGTGAATTCTTCCAGGGGAACCATATACTTCTTGTAAAGGGTGCTCTAGTCTGGACACAAGAACAGTAGTCCTACTGAAGTCTCCATCTTAGTATTAGGGCAATATAGCAGAAAGACTTCCACTCGCCGTAAAATCCACAATAGCACAATGCCGTTTTCTGCCTGCTATTACCCCAGCTGTATGTTTTATTGTTCTTGCTTGAGGCTTTTAAACAATGTTTGTTTATCAGATTTATCTTGTTTTTTTCCCCAGAGCTTATCTCCAGCTTTCAAAAAGATCTTGATTTCTGATTCAGTCATCCAGCACGTGTTTTTTTGCAGCTGGTTCACTGCATCAGCCCATGTACCATCTCCACATAAATTTATATTAAATTATTCAAAATTATTGCAGGCTGAGGAATTCCTAGCCACTGTTGTTGGAAATGGCAGCCTCACTGACTCAATGAAGTAGGGCTTCTTGAGTCAGAGGCTAACCATGGCCTTTTTTGTTCTCTTTAAAAAGTGTTTTCTTAAAGCTGGTTTATTCCTCCTAGCTTACTGCTGTCTCACCATATGTGCTCCAGTGGTATCAGCTTCCTCTAACAGTAGCCTAGTGACACTGGAGCTTAGGCAGTCCTGTCTGTATTTGCTGGTTCCCAATTGCCTTCCCTGCCAGCAGCCTGAAGGGCAGGAGAGAAACATCTAATGCATGTTTTTCCATTTTAGTGCCTCTGGAAAATGCCCCCAAAGCAACCCTAGTTTTACCAGCTGTGGAGCTTCTTTGTCTTTATAGGACAAGAGAGCAAAGCAACAATTTTAGGATAAGTTCAAGTCTGAAGTTAAAAAATCATCATAATGCAAATTGGCTATTGAGTCAAACTTCCATGTTTTCCAGAAATACATCAGTAGAGCAGCCTGCTAATAGTGGCCGGATGACTACAGTTACTGAATATTTCTAAAGAAAAAATGTCCTTCTGTATTTTTATTACTGTGGATACTTTTTCAGATAAAATAAAACAGCTTAGACTCACAAATCAACCAAAAAGATTTAAATAGATGAACTTAAAATAAGACTGGAAGATAAGTGCATAAAACTGCTCTGAAAAATCTGGGCTGTCGTTCATACGTCTTTGATTATGCACTTGTAAAGAAGGGAAGTGCTCATTGAAGTTAATGAATATTTTGGTTCTTTATCAACTTGTGGATCAGAGCCTTGATATAAACACAGCTGGTGTGTGTTCAACCACATCTTCTACTGCTTTGCAAGTTATAGGATGTTATTTAATGAGGAGGTCTTCTGAGGATGCTTATCAAGTTAGCTTGAGTTTGGCAGAATTAGATGATGTAATCACTTTACAATAGAAACATACACAAAATATGCCTAAAGCTTTTAAACTTCTTCCCCAAAACCGCAATTTAAACAAAAAACCTGTATATTATGTATATCATAAAATATCATAAATTGCACATGAAATTTGTGGGAAATGGTTCATCTGTGACAAGGAAGTAATTAAAATTTATATGTAGTTTCACATCACAGTACATGTGTTTGATTTGATATTAAAATTCTCTTACTGCAGACTAATATTTGATGTCTATCTGAGCTATCCATGGGACTAACTTCTATGGGAACAGAGGCCCTACCTGGGATATTGCCATGCTGTACCCTGTGCTGCAATGGAATGGATGTCTGAACAGTTCAATACTTTTTCAAAAGAAAGAAATTCATGCTCCTGTTTATGGAATTTCTACCAAAAATATGGAATTTGTTGGATCTCAAGGTTAGGCAATACAAGAAAACTATAAAAAAGATTGGGGTTTAAGTGGATGCAGTCTGTTGTCACCACTGGGTAAATACCATTTGACATTTGTTTTAGGAGCACACAAAACAAAGGATAGGGAATCACTGCCACTGCATCAGCTGAAATTAGAAGTTTCCTCTCTCTAGTCGTTCATGGCATCTCCTATAAACCCGCTACCTGTCACCTAGATGCTTCGTCACAAAAGGCATATCTACCTAGTCATGGTTAGTAATGTTGAGGTGAAGGAATTAGTGCATCAAAGATGATGACTAAAACTCTCTGAATGCTTTAACTGGCTGACCTGGGAGGAAAAAAAAAGAAAGCTCAGGGGTTCTTGATATGTAAAGTGAAGAACTAAGGCCACTTCTAGTGGTAGCACTAGTTTTATTCTCTATTCAGTTCTGAGCCTAATATGCTGATCTTCATGTATTTCATTTGTCTAAGTGAATTGACTTAACTCCCTGACTTTAGTCCCACAGCCCTTGTAATACAAATAAGTAGAATAGCTACTTTTTTGGGCAAGAGACAGTATCAAATTATCTTTAATATTACCACTGGTAGTTACTGTTGGTTCTGATCATCTGAACAAAGAAAGGTTGTGCTGAGTGTGTTTGAAAATCCCACTGACAATGTTACTGTTCAGAGTGAGGAATCCTTTATATTTATATTGTATCTCTGCTCTGCCTTACTCTTTTCTCTGGAAGCAGCTCCAGTTACATTGCCAAGTTCCTACAAATCTGGGCCGGACATGATCTTTGTAAGTTAAATTAATACATCAGCATCCACAAATAAGTTTCCTTTAAGAAAACATTCCATGGCCTCAGTATGGTAAAACATAATGTAGCTATTCTTTCTGCTTTCTACTAGCCACTGCAACCTTCCGAGAAAACACTAGTGAATGACTCAGAAAAGAGGAAAACCAGATTTTATCATATGAGAAGTAAAATATAGGAAACATTTGATAAAGCAGTATTCCCTCAGCAACCTCTAAGCTTTTCTGTCTAATGTAGAAAATCAAAGTAATAATTTCAGCACGTGCACAGGAAGATGTATGGAGTGGAACAGAAAGTAGGCACAGATACAACCTGATTTTAACATTTCATTTTCATTGTTCTTATAAAGTAATAATTCCTTTATTCTCAGAGTGAATGTCGGACTTAAGTTAACTCGTTTGCTTCCGTAGTTAGGAATTCTACTTTCTTTTTGAGGGAAACCCCGGCCGAGGTTGACGTGGCGGTGAAGTTTTCCCTCTGGCCACTAGATGCTCGCACAGTCCCACCGCTTTGGGCGCCCGCGGCCCCCAGGCAAGAGTAGGGCAGGAGCCGGGCTTTTTCCCGTTAAAAACAAAACAAAACAGAAAAACCCTTAAGCTAGAAAAATACCAGGAAATTTACAATTTCAAAAACTTGAAATTCAGGAATTTACAGAATCAGCCCGTGTATATTATCTTGATTTGATCCATGTGTGCATACATGATGACACTCATTAAATAATAGCCAAGTCTTTTCCAAAGACTGAAGACCTCATTTAGAACACATAAAATGTTAGTTTTTTATTTTTCTTCACTTCAGCACATATATACTGCTCAGCATTATTTACTGTACAAACCCTACAAGCTCTACTTTCAACATAGAATTTTCTTTCTCTCTTCATACCATCCTCTATATTCACAGTATTCTCATTTTCTACCTGCAGTTAATAAATTTTCAACTTTTCTGGATGGCACCTTGAAGGCCAGATGATCATATTCTGATCTTGTGGATTAGATGCTGAGCCACAGAGGGTAAACCCATCATTTCTCAGTGAAATTATTTAATCTCATACCCTGTATGAGAAATCAATTCTACAAGCTTTGGTGGCTCTTGAACATCTTGTAATGCACTTTATGTTCAAAGCCCAAACTGGCTTTGTTTACTGCAAGGGATCAGTACCTTTGCAGGATTCATCCCAGATTTGGAAGCCAGAAGGAACATGAGTGTTTGTCCCTGGGTGATGCTGAACAGATGGGGTGGAATTCATTTCTCCAGAGAAGCCCCCAGTGGTCTTGGGTAGTCTCTTCGTGCCTTTCTTGACACCTGTGGCCTGGCCTGTCTGTTTGGGCCCTTCTGCAATAAATAAAGTGTAGGACACATTCCTGGCACAAAGGCTGCCCTCATTACCTCATTTAGAGGTCTTGCTCCGAACCGATGGCGCAATAAACATAGGAAACCGAGTATGGTGTCAGCCCTGTGCTACATCACGATCACATCACCAAGGGGCACTGTTGCCTTTGGTTAAAGTACCAGCTCTGGAAAATTACGGTTTGGTGTGTAAAGGATCCCTGTTCCCAGGCCTGGCGCTATCCAAACAAGCTGCCCTGCTCCATCAAGGTTGCCCTACCCTGACAGGCAGGAATATTTCAAAATTAGAGAGGGGGTAAGTGACCTTGTTACTTAGTACTTGGGCTTTTTGTTGCGATTACCTGTTACTACCAGCTGTGAAATTGCCTCGGAGATTTATCCACTTACAGAGACCAAGTCATTTTGTATTCAGTAACTACTCAGTGTGATTCAACTGATCTGAACTGAAGTAAAGGTAACAGGCAGCATCACATTTCCAGGCTCTCATGCATTCATTTCTCAAAGAGAAACCAAACCTTAAATTTAACAAAACTGATTTATCTGTTTCATTTCAAACTCCTTCCATGAATTCTGCTGACACTTTAGGCACCAGATCCTGATCTTGGTTGCTGTGAATGCAGAGTAAAAAAACACCGGTAGCTTCAACAGATTTATATTAGATTGGTTCCATTTGTGCTGAACTACCACAAAACTGTTTTAGCCTTGGAACTGGCAGCTTAGTTACATGACTGTGAAGGTCCTGGTCACTGCACCAGAAATAAGATTACAGAAGGCTTTTCCTTTTAATGGCATTTCTGCCAGTTTGTACTTCTGGCATGAATATTGTTTTAAAATTGCTCTCTGAAGGCAATTAAGAAAAACAAAAAAATAAGGAGAACAAAGAGACTGTCATTAGTAATCCAAGTAGGGTTTCGTTTCTGAGAAAGGATTAACAATCAAGACAAAGAGCAGAATGAGAAGGCAATTGATGTTGTCATTATCAGCAATTTCTTCAAATTAAGTTGGCAAGTCCTGTATTCAGTGTACAATATTCATTGTGGATTGGTATTTGAAAAGATTTGTAAGAATTAAAAGTAAGGCTTTAGAGCAAGGCAGCAGAAATATGGTCTGGATTATGACCTTGGGTAAAATCCACGAGGACTTCAGTGCAGCTCTAGCCATGTCACTTGGTCCTAGGGAGATCCTGTATCTTCTCACTGTTCTCCTGATCTCTCAGGAGAAAGTTAAGCACATGAAGCTTTTGGCAGACCAGCCAAAACCCGAACTTTGCTTTCTGCTTTGCAGATCTATGTAGAAACAATGTAGCAGACCTCAGCAAAATTAAATGAGTAGCCTGTTTTAGAGTGAGGGAAGCATTAATATTACACTGAAAGAAACTGAACTGGGAATTTTCTTTTTTTGCAACAGTGAAGAGCTTCACCATGTAACTAATGGTGAATTTTAATAGAGTATGTGATAGAGATGGCTGAAGAACCTCAGCTAATTTATATCATAATAGGATTTGCTTGGTGGGGAGCTCATGCCAGTGAGAGGAATGAAATGTCACTGAATGTCTGGAATTTCTAAACAAAAAATTGTAATCAATGAACTATGGTGCAATATTAATACTGGCAGTCTCCTTCAGCTCCTATCTTCAAGAAGATGGGAAATGTCAGGATATGGCCTGTGCCCATCCTTCGTGTTCTAAGGTACTGCCCCAAAATGATGGGCTGGTGGCTCCTCAAATCTGCCCGTCCCTGGCTTTGCCAAGGAATGCATTGAAACACCTTGATGCAGAATGAGAAAACTGCACAAAGTGTCCCAGGTGGCGAGATTTGTTCAAATAACGTCACCAACAAATCTGATGTCTTTGTCTCTGTCCTTCAATATCTTCCAGCTTTGCTTAGCCAAGGCCACCGAGTTCACAAAACAAAACAAGACCTTGCTATTGTCATTCAGCCTGCACACTTGCTCCTTGCAGTGCTTCTCTTGGCATTTCCCACCATTCTTTCATGTCCTGCATCTCTGTTGCTCCTGCCTCTTTTCCCCTCTGCTTTCCCTGCTTTCTCTCCTGCTTTTGTCTGCTGCTCCCCACTGCGCTTCTGTTGATCCTTTTGTTGTGTCCCTCATGCCTGTGCGTGCACCACTCCTCTGTCAGCCTCTCCTGCTCCTCCTGCTTCTTCTTGCTGTACATCCAGCCACTTCCCCTCATATATCTGCCGCTCTGCCATGCACAGCTGCTGCTCTTCTCCCCACCTCCACCACTCCCGCTGCTGCTGCTGCTCCAAAAACAGTTTTGACCAGCTCTACTTCCAAACAATGAGGCTTTGACCTCTCTCCCCTGGGAGAAGATTTCACAGCCAAACACGTCTCACTGGCAGGAGCTTTTCCTGATATTCAGCCTGTTTCCTTCTCCCATTGCTCTTACTTAAATCTCTTTATATTGAACTAACAGCTCATGCCTCAGGCTAGATATTTTACCCCTCCTTTTCTGCCTGTTGCAAAGAAGGGCTGGATACAGATATTGAGGCCAAAATGAACAGGGACACCCTCCTAATATGCAGCACTGTCTGTCCAAGTAAGCAAGCTCCTGTTGTACCCAGAAGGAGCAGAACAAACACACTTACCATAATGAAAAATAGGCCACATGCCTTACAAAAATTCACCAAGGGCCAAATCTTGATCAGTTTTTATCCATCTGAAGGAGAGATATTTGTACGGACAGCTGTGTCAACAGCCTGTGAGCCAGGGACTGAGTGAATCTGAGCTCCTGAAGGGGAAACAGTGATCTGAAATAGGTGAATAAGGCCCAAATGGAGTACATTTGGATGCAGAGGGAGAGGTTTGAACCCAGGAGGTAGAAGAGAAAAACATTAAAATCACAAAGAGTGCAAAAGCAGGAGACACTGAGTTTAGGTAGCACGAAAAAAAGGGGAAGAAATACAACAGGCTGTGTGGAAGGGAGAGGGGTGGGAGGGGTGTTCAAGCAGCTGGACATGGGATGAGGTGCATTAGGTGACCTGCAGTGGGATGACAAGGGTTCAGTGGGGCCAAAGATGAATGCACCCCTCACACAGAGTCAGGACAACAAACTGTGGAAGTGACAGAACACAACTGTGAAAAGACTTGTGTTTTAAGGGCCAAGACTGTCTTTTAATGAAGTATCAGAAAATTGCTTGGTTGAAGAGGAGATTAAGACTGATGCTAAAGTAATAAATAATTGTAATTAACAATTTACAGTTTCTAAGGTAGTCAACAAATGTCTATATACTTCTCTTGATGACCGATGTGAAACTGGAATGCTCATCTACCCACACAACCACTGAGACTTCTTGCTAGGCTCAACACAGATGCCAGGGATAGAGAATGCAGTTTTACTGGTTAGAGTGAGCCAGTGTAACTGCTGAAGAAAGGTGGAGATTTTCTGTGCATTCCTATGTTGTGTCCCAGCTGCACCTTCTGACACTTACTGGGCACTGGTATTTGTTTGCACTCTTCAGCATCAGCTGACCTAACTCACTGAACAACAAACATATTCATTTCTCTTTTTTTTGTGATCATTTTTCTGCTGGCTTAGTAAATTGGTGCATAGCAAGGGTTCAGAGAGCAGCAGTTTTAAAGCAGGAATCACAACTGTACAGCTGGGCACAGGATAATGGAGATGAAGGGAAGAAGGAGCATGACTGTTTGATTTTTCCTTATCAGAGGCAAAACTTGAACCTAGCTGGTGTACATGTCACTATAACCTGACTGAGCATCTTCTTCCTTTTCTCAGGTGTTTTAAAATGTGCTAACCAATATGTACCCATTAGCACACTGTAAGAGCTGCTCATTTTCCTAGTCTAGACAGGCCTTTCAAGCAGACATGCAGATCTGCCTTCAGGCATTTTGTCAGGGCAGTCCTCAAAAGCACCTTTCAGAGGCTCAACAGACAACTTCAGATGGCAATTTGGAATCTTATTCTTGGTGGTTAAAATAGCTTATTTTGGCCAGTCCAAAAGCTAAATTATTAATACCAGATGAATTAATAACCGTGAAAACTGCTCATTAGAAATTATAATGGCACTGAACACCATAACAGATCCCCTATAGTGTAAATCAACCTTGCCCAATTTATTTAATGAAGCTACAACTGCTTACGGCAGCCAAAGACCTGCCCTAACATTTTCTTGCTTTTGCATGTACCTAACATAACATTGCAACCTTCTTGCTCAATTTTTCTGCCATTCTTATAATTTTTCCCTTAGAGGGCTTCTTTAGACATAGCAAAGACTGCTTGGTAATTTTTATGTCTAGCCTCCTATTTCCCTTGCTACTCCCTCATGCAGTAATTTGTGTAAGAAAAGGTAAATCAGAGCCACATGTTCCCTTTATAAGCCTGAGATAAAGGGCAGCAGCAATATCATTTGCTGTGAATTCACCGGGATTAGTCAGAGTACTGTTAACTATGGAGATCACAGTATCAGCATGCTTCCTCTGGTTTTGCATGTTACTTTGTTGGGGAAAGCTCAGTTTCTTCT